CCCTCGGGAGAGGGCCAGGTCTCTCGACGACCAACACAGTGGCGGGATCAGTTTCCCGCGCCGACCAGGGCCCCAGACAGTTATTGGCGCGCTACGTCCGCGCTCCTGGGAGGGGAAACGAGTTATGAGTTGTCCAAACGAGAGAGGGTGATCGTAGAAGACGACGCGGTTCAAGCATAAATTGCTGCGTGTTGATAGGCGAGTATAGATCTGACCGAACGGAGACATTTGAGAATGTACCTATTGATGAAGTATTCTTATAGTAGTGATGAAGCATACAGTAGTAATGTAGGTAAGAGATGATGTATGGTAGCTGTGATGTAGGGTAGCGGTGTGGGTGGTTGGCGGGTGCTCTGATGTGGTTTGTTCCTTCTCCCCTATAAAACATCTACCGTCCTTATCTCTCCTCCTTTTGTGTGTATGCTACTCTCTTGTAACACCTCTAATCTTCTGGCGCTCATATTATGACCTTATTATGTAGTTTCGAGCGCCGTAAAACCTCAACTAAACTAAAACGAGAGAGGGTGATCGTAGAAGACGACGCCGTTCAATCATAATTTACTGTACGTTGATAGGCAAGTATAGATCTGACCGAAGGGATATTTGAGAAGGTACCTATAGTATATAGTAGTAATGTAGAGTAGAGATATGATGAAGGGTAGCGGTATGGGTGGTTGGCGGGTGCTCGGGTATTTTTTACTCATACACCCGTCTCATGTGCACGTTTGATATACGTTTTTTCTAATAGTTTTTTTGCGTGCTGAACACGAATATGGCCTTCATTTTTGCTGCAAATAAATAGTTACTGATTTATTGTTGTTTGAAAACTGATCTAGATCTAGGACCAGTGGCGTAGTAATAATTGACTAATTTTTGACAACTTGGGTGCCCCCCTGACCTAAAAAGAAACTGGCGGGTTTCAAGACGCGGTTCAAGCATAGACTGCTGCGTGTTGATAGGCGAGTATAGATCTGGCCTAGGGTAGATATTTGAGAAGGTACCAACTCTGATGAAGTCCTCGTATTGTAGTGATGAAGTATATAGTAGTAGTAGTAATGTAGAGTAGCGATGGTTATAGGGTAACGTTGATGTGGCTTCGGTGGCTCAGAGGTTAACTCGCAATCGTAAGGTTGTGTGTTCGAATCCCATCAGGGACCCGAGGTTGTATCCTTTGTTTGTTTTGTTTTTTAGTAGAGGTTTTACGGCACTCGCAACTGCATAAGGTCACACGAGCGCAAAGGGGTGGATGTCAACGGAGAGGTCCTTACAGGGAACCAGACTTACTCTGCTTTCCTCGTTAGCCTCAACAGCGCAAAGTCTGCTTTGATTATCTAGGCACCACCGAAATAGCGGGTCACAAGAGTGTGACAAACATATAAAAGAAGTAGAGGAAAATGACGACAGTAAGGATTAGGAAAGAGAAAGCAGCAGTTCCCTGAGTTCAGGCACAGTAATGAGCATGACATTGTTGGATCAGCCCATTTACAATTACAATTCTACTGTGCATTAGATCGAGAAATGTCCCTCCTTTGTGAATGGCCTAAAGACACTTCAGTCAGTGGCACCGCCCTGGGGGATGGTTGTATCCCTGGGGAAAGGCACTTTACACAAATTTTCTTCCCTTCACCCAGGTGGAAATGGGTATCCGGTTATAGACTGAAAGATCTTGTCAGTTTGATAGTTTTAAAATCAGCTGGTTTCCCTGTATGCTTCCCGGGAAGCTGAAAATATTTCTGAGTGTTTCATGGTCAGCTGGGGTAATAATATAGTGTGTAAAGCGCATAGAGCTTGCTATTGAGCTAGGATACACACTCAACAAATGCTATTTATTATTATTATTATTATAAATATTTTTAATTATTTAAAAAAAAGATTTTTTAAAACAATTATTATTATTATGTAGTGGGCCGGTGGTTTGGTCATGTCATCTACTTAACCAAACGATCTAAGTTGCAGCAATATTTAGATTGGTAGCTAAAAACAGCAACATCAACGTCTCGTAATAGCCAGTTTTTCATTCATCGTTGTTCCATGAAAGGCTTATCGGAATCCCTTTGATCCAAGCCGGGCTCGGCTTTTATATCTTTTGTGATTCTCGCCTCAAAGAAATTCATAAATAATTTTTTAATGTACATTGATAAGTGGCCTTCAATGAAAGTTCTGAGCTAGTGTGCGTGTGTGTCTACCTGTCTGTGTGTGTATGTATGTATCTATGTATGTGTTTGTCTGTGTGTGTATGTATGTGTGTGTGTGCGTGTTTGAATGCATGTATGCAACATGACATATGTGTGTGTGTGTATGTATGTATGTGTGTGTGTGTGTGTGTGTGTGTGTGTGTGTGTGTGTGTGTGTGTGCGTGCATTTGTAAGTGTATGTCATTGTGTCGATCTATGTGTATAATATGTATGTGTCTGTGCGTGTCTGTATATCTGTGTATGTGTATGTGTGTGTATGTATGTGTGTGTGAGTGTGTGTGTGTGTGTGTGTGTGTGTGTGTGTGTGTGTTTGTGTGTGTGTGTGTTTGTGTAAATACACAAAATATGTGCTTCCTGCAGACGTGGGACTAGTACCTCACCTGCCTGTCTCACCTGTATTTCTCACATGTATGTCTAACCTGTATATGTCACCTGTACATCTCATCTGTACGTCTGTATGTGTCCTCCCCCATCACCTTTACGTCTGTTTGTGTCCTCCCTCATCACCTGTACATCTGTTCGTGTCCTCTCCCATCACCTGTACGCCTCACCTGTACGTCTCACTTGTACATCTCACCTGTTGTCTGTTTGTGTCCCCTCCCATCACCTGTACGCCTCACCTGTACGTCTCACTTGTACATCTCACCTGTACGTCTGTTTGTGTTTTCCCCCATCACCTGTACGTCTCCCCTTTACGTCTCACCTGTACGCCTCACCTGTACATCTCACCTGTTCGTCTCACCTGTACGTCTGTTTGTGTGTCTTCCCCCCAGACATCAGGCGAGTACCTGGAGCTGTACGAAAGTGCCCGGGGTCAAGAGTTCAGCAAGTACCACGGCTACGCCTACGACGGCGTCTGGGTGGTGGCCAAGGCCCTTGACCGCCTGCTGGACGGGACCAGCATGACCCCTGACCTCTTCCGGGGACCGCTGGTGGGCAAGGTGCTCAACGAAACCAGCTTCCAGGGAGTGACGGTGGGTGGAAATTGTGTGTGGGTGAAACGTGTGTGTGGGTGGGTCAAGGTGTGTGTGTGGATTATGGTGGGGAAACTTGTGTGTGGGTCATTGGTTGCGGGTCATGGAGTGATGTGTGGGTGAAACGGTTGTGTGTGGCCGGGGAGGGGGGGGGGGGGGGGGGTCATGGTGGTGTGTGAAACTTGTGTGTGGGTTGTGGTAGTGTGTGTGAAACTTGTGTGTGGGTGAAATTGTGTATGGGTCATGGTGTGTGGGTCACGGCGGAGGGTGAAACGTGTCGGTGGGTACATAATAATAATGTGTTGAGACACTGTAGGGTGCAGAGTGTGTGTGTTTGTGAGTTAAAGAGTATATTGGTACGTGTGTATTGAAGGTGGGTACCGAGAGCGTGTTAAGATATTGTATCACTAGCTGGGCCCCTTTCGATGAAAGGAGTGAGCGGTGCATTAAAATCAACTGAAAGTTATTGGCCTACTATATTTACACTCTTCTGGAATGGCGAAATGAATCCTGAGAGATTAAAAAAAATAGAAGGTTTAGATATAGTAATGTATAGATTGATTCTCTATTCCGCTTTCGTGGTTGTACACTCCAGAATTTCAAAGGTGTGGTAACAGTGCGCACGGCTATTGGGCGGAAACCTCACTTGTTTACAATGGCGTCTAAGAAGACGGACTATCCCAAGATTAGATCTAAACGAAACTAAAGAAAAACTAAAAATTAAACTACAGTGACTTCAGGCTCCTCAATAAAACTGTGCACCCTTTAATTGATTCTGAACCACAATTAATTTGGCCAAATTCGAAAGTTAAGTGGTTCAGAAGTTTTAGGCGGCCAAAGTGACGAACTTTCACTAATATGAAATATTATATAAATGTAAGGTACAGAGAGTGTGTTAAGATATAGGCCTACTAAGGTACCGATAATGTGTTAATGTGTGAGCGTATTGTAGTGTACAGATAATAATATTACCGTATTCTTGCTCTGAATATGCGGGGCTGTATTGTTAAAGGTTGCTGGTGTTTTCTGGTGTCAAAACGCCGACCTGATCGCCGTATCTATCCTACACCCCCACAATCACACCCCAAGTCTTTCCCTAATACTTTTTGGAAGATGTTTCAGCTGATGATTCTGTTCCCTCTCTCCCTCATCCGCTTCTCGGTCATCGCTGTGGTATTAATTTAAGAAATAAGATAACAGCAAGAATCACCAAATTATATTTAACCTAAGTTACAAATCAGATGATAAATAACGTTGAAGAGTTTCTGGAAAGCTTAGCTGAAATGCATGGGGTAATCTGCTTTATGGGCTGCTCTAGACATGCTGTCACCACCCGATGGAATCAAGTGCTCGTCAATTTTTAGGCATGTGGAGATATTTGTAAAATGTTAAACTTTGTTCGCTTGTCTATCTTTCAATGAAAAAAGTACGCATTTATCTTGAAAAGAAGTCAATTATATTTGCGATTGAAGGAGGTGTGGGTCGCCTGGTTTTAGAGCTGAAATTAGCGAGGAAATGGTCGCCAAAGTTTGATGATTTCCATAGCTTGAGAGTCATTGAAAACTGAAAATTTCCTTTTTTGACTTCAATCAACGTTTTTCAGTAAAAATTCATCCTGAAATAATGGGTTATTATGTTATTAAATGGACATCTAAGATATTGAGCCTAAAAACAAAAATATGATAAAAATAGCCAGATCGGCGGAAAAATGCCTGCATCTCGGCTTTCATTATTTTTACGAGCGCCTGATTTCATCACGCTACCTCACCATTCATTTGTAACTCGGAGCTAATGTGGCTCCCAGCGAGGCTTTCATCAAGTAAGATTAACTCTAAAAAGATCTCCTTATAATGCTATAATAGTACACTTGCGCTACCGCGGGGCCCTTGTTACTGCTTATGGAAGCTGATAGATACAACAGGGTAGTGATTGCATTACATCTAGATCTAGATGAATAATAATATACCTCATTTAGAAGTCAAGGCTCAATCTATATACTATAATAACATAATCGGCATTGGATTGCGATCCATCCGGTTCTCAACGTAACCAGCTTCGGAATCGATTCCTCATTTCGAAAGTCTTTTTTTAGTAAGATTTTACGGCGCTTGCAACTGCATGCGGTCATATGAGCGCCAAGGGGTGGATGTCAACAGAAAAGTCCTTACAGGGAATCAGACTTACTCTGCTCACCTCTCAAGCGTCAACAGCACAAAGTCTGCCTCCAATATCAAGGCATCCCGGAAACAGCAGTTCATAAGAGTGTGACAAACATACAGAAGAAGTAGAGGAAAAATGACGATAGTACGGAGGAGGAAAGAAAAAGTTGCGAAAGTCTCAGCCGGCAGCCCCTTCCCCCAACCCCCC